GGGGGCGTTGAGGCGGACGGAGGCAATGGCTCCAAAATGAGATGCCGCGCCGGGGAGGAGGGCACTCAGATCGTACAGTCAGCCATCCGACACCCAGTGAACTTGAATAGTGAAGACCGAGCTGATCCAAATACAAAGGAGTTTTAGAAACAAAGCTGACTTGGGAATAACGGACGTAAAAAGTAATGAACGAGACGTAAAAATACAATATAGGTGTTGTGGTGCATTATCGTTGGCATTTTTCATGAAATAATTATAAACGTTGTCATTGCCAATAGTAGTAACTACTGTTGGCAATGACAACTTTTATAATTATTTCATTTCGTAAAAATACAAACTGAAAAAAGGAATTTTACCTCGGTGAATTTCCAAATTATGTATTAATACACTCTTAGATTTAACGGAGTATTATTCAAAATTCGCTCTGCACAATTTTTTATAGAAACAGCCTTTAAGGTTTTTTTGATTCTCAGTTTGCCATAAGGAACCTGGAGAAAGTAAGGTAGTTTGCTGTTACATTTGTGATCAATATAATATGTTAATATAATTCTAAACACTATGAATTTAAATTTTAAGGATTTATTTGTTTACGGAATTTGTTCAATGTCGAAGACATTCGCAATTATCTTGCCTCTAAACATAAGGACATATGAAAGGACTCACATTTTGTATACATTCAGATGCATAATTCATGTTCACATGCTATTATGTAATGTGAATCTGTATCACGCATGAATGGACATTTATTGCAGCATTAAATGCTACGCTTCAACAGCATTTTCAGTGCAACTCAGCGTACATGCACGGCAATCGCATTTTGCAACCATTCCCTCTGCAAACTAGCACACCTTGACAAGACCTAACACAGTTTGGAGGCATAAATAGATGAAAGAGCAGAAAGAGCTACACCGAAAAATATGTCAATACATTATATCTTACTAAATAAATAAACTATTAGCGATATGTACGTATGAATTTACTAATTATATGTTCAAATGAGTTATGAAATTCTATGTATAAAAGAGCAATGTGAAGAGAAAAGATATTTAAGATATTTATTCTCTATAATAAAACTTTAATAAAACTGATCATTTTTAAAGATCATCCAAATTTGTTCCTTATTGTATTTTTAACACGAAGCTGATGAAAGTAGTAATATGAACATTATTGTATATCATGAAGGATAGAATTCCTTATATTCAATGGAAACTAACATAATTGTGGAATTGGAAATAATTTAATATTTGTTTTAAAATTCATTTAACCCTTTATAATAATTAGAATATTAATATAAGGGAATATTTGATTAAGTCACAAGACTTCTTTTCATCTCATTTAATAATCTTTGGAAGAGATTTCTGAATTTACTAATGTCTTCGAGAATCAGTAATCTCAACATTATCTTTCTAAAATATGACTAACTTTTACTCTGATACAAATTGCGAACAAATTTGGAAGCCCTTGTATTTTTTATACAATGTCAGCATAGCTCCATCCCCCCAGTCTACATCTCGTTTCTAAAATACACTACGTCGAACGCCAGGGCACGGAAGCACAGTGCGGCGGAGACAGACAAGCACGCTGCGCCCGCGACGCAGACAGGCGGGGCGTGGCGCATTGAGTGCGTCAGCGACAGGCAAAGCGGGCGGGCGCGGCGAGCGGCGACAACAAGCGGCTTGCTGGTGATGGCGGGAGGGGGGGGAGGGAGGGTGCGCGGGGTGATGGGGCGGCGTCGGGCGGGCGGACGGGGAAGGCGAGCGCGACCAGCGTAGCTAGCGAAGCGGAGTGAATACAAGTTATGTTCTTACTTTATTGCCTATGTCGAGGGCCTGCCGCACAGACTCACTCATACCATGGTGCTCCATGGCCAAGAACATGGTGTTGAGGACGATGCAGAGCGTGATGAGCAGGTCGAAGAGCGGGTCGCGGACCACCTTGTACAGGCCGCTCTGGAAGCGCAGCCAGCCGTCGTAGTCGACGCAGCACTGCGTGCAGCGGTCGCAGTTCCGGTCGGGCAGATCGTCTGCAACAGGGCGTCGACTCGCCGCTGTGCCTTCTGGCAGCGCCGACCGCCCCCGCGCCCTCCGCGGCTCACCCGGCGCTCTCCCCGCCACGCCCCGCCCACGCATGCAGGCCCGGCCGCGATTTTGAGAAAAACTCTCGGTGTCAATGGCGATCATGCAGATAAAATGGACAGCGTGTTTCAGAACTATGGGCATTACGACAAAAATATCGTGATTCTACGCCAAATTCTCTTTTTTTGTCCTCAAGAGGAAAAATTCGCCCGTATAACTTGATATGAAGTCCTCTCTCTTGGTGATGAGACGGACGGTTCCGGTGTATTAAAAATGTTTAACACTCAACGGAAATTATATTGAATTATGATGAAATAATAAAGCAAATTATATGAAAAAAGAGAGCAACAAATGTATTAGACATCCCTTTGGTCAATGAAAGATTTAAGTGAAATATAAGGATGTGTTCCGATATTCGGAAACGGTGAATGAATACAAATATTGAATTCTGGACTCATTAAATCACAAAAAATAATCACATATTTCAAAAAGAAACTTTCTAATTTAGTGGTCCTCAGCACAGGACACAGTAACATGGCGCCTCTCAAAAAAATCAGGTGGCGTACAAAAAGTTAATCTTAATAGTCACATTTGTATTCTGATCCGAGAAGGTATGTCTTTCGAATTGACGAGACATTCGAATGCCAAGCGTATTTTGTTTGTTGAATAGTCACTCAAAACACTCCGTAATCTATTTATATAATTAACTTTCACAGAATGTTTACCATTTAAACCCTTTAGTTTAGAAACACTCTGTACATATTTTTTTCATTTTTATTACAGTTCAACATTTCTTGTATTATTTCATATCTATTTAAAAAATTTAAAAATTCATGGAATGAGAAACGTTTTTTCCCTCGCCTCCCACAGTCGTAACAAGAAAATGCTTGCGTTTCAGCGAGAACGTGTGATTACAAAGCCATACTCAAAGCCAATTTAATTTATTTCATTGTTTTGGGAACTAGATAAACAATTATTCTTTTAACGTTTTGTTCAGAATGCAAGCTATTGTAAAAATTGGTTTTTCGAATATTCACCTTCTTCGAATAATGGCATTGGTGTCTACTTGGAAAATGCCTTTACCCACATATTCGTACACACGCAACGCACGTGTCGGCATTTCGGTCGGGGGAGTCGCTGTGCTGAGTCGCTGTGCTCTAGCCAAGCCTTGGGTTGGAGTTGGCGCGCTGCCAGGCGGGCTTCGCCCCCAAGTTGCGTCGTCGGGCAACCCTACGCGCCGAGCGTCCTCGCGGGGCTGCGGGCCGTCGACCCGTGGGCAGGCGGGGCCCTCTCGGGACGGGTGCGGCCCCATCGGCGCGCGGCGGGGCGCAGCGTGGCGCAGCGGGGCGGGCCGGGCCAAGCGGACCGGAGTGGATGGCACAGGATTGCTCACGGGTGGAGCGGATGCGGTGGGATGGGGTCACGCGCCGCGGCCACCGGGGTTCCTGGTTC